CCATGATAGGCTGCACACACCATGATAGACTGCATAGCCATGATAGGCTGCACACGCTGTGATAGACTGCACATGTGAACTGTGAGCCGGAATAAACGCTCCTCCTTTCAGTGACTTTTGTCAGGGTACCAACAGGAAAGGAAACTGAGGTGGCCCCTCTGCTCTCTTGTCCCCCAGTCAGAGCTTTAGTTATGATGCTGTCATTTAGTGAATGCCAGCCATGTTTCAGAACTTAGAAAAGCTATTCAATCCCCTTAGGGAGCTTCGTGGCTGACTCAGTCATGGTGGTAGAATAAGTAGTCATGTTGTCACTCACAGCTCCCAGCAACCCCGAGAAGTGGGTAGCCCCGCCTCCATTCTAGTAGATTCTTGTTCAGTTATTACTGGAGACTGCTTGTGATGGAGAAGAGCCTGTTCTGGAGAGAGAGTCTCATCTGGGGGATGGGAAGGCGACAGGATTCTCTCAAGTCTCAGGAGCAGGAAGACATGCCCAGCATATCTCCACCTGGAACTCACCGATCTCAGTGGAACTTTAGAAATGGAATTCCTTCTGGTGGGCAGATGACAAAGGTCTCCAGTGTCTTGCCTTGGTAGCACTGGAGCCAGAAACATACCAGTGTCTTGGGCCAAGTGGTGATGACCAGCTGCCTATGACATATTTTGCAAGAAGGGAAGGCATTGTGAGTTGTATTTCATGGCTTTAAGAGTTTCAATATGGTGATAACCAGTTTGCAATTTTTTTGAGACAGTTTCATGTAGACCAGGCTAGCCTCCACTTGCTGTGCAGCTGAGGATGACCTTGAACTCCTGATCCTCCTGCTTCTACCTCCTGAGTGCTGGGGTCCTAGGCAGACACCACCTTACCTGGCTCCAATAATCTTTAATTTATTAATTCCTTTAATAAACTGGGAGCTGCTGTGAGCTGAGACCCCCTTCACAGTTCCCAGGTGATACCTCACCCGAGTGCCTGATTTCTGTCCTGTCAGTGGCTCTTGATACCTCCAAGAAGGTAAATCAACACCTTTCTTACTTTTCTTTTTACAGTTTTATTTTTATTGTTGTTATTATTGTATGTGTCGGTTGTTTTGCCTACGTGTATGTCTGTCCACCACTGTTTGTGCCTAGTTCCCGTGGAGGGCAGAAGACAGAGTTGGGTCCTCAGGAACTGGAGTTAAAGGTGGTCCTTTAAAGCAGGTGCTGGGAATTGAACCCAGGGCCTGTGGAAGAGGGGCCAGTGTTCTCAACCACTGAGCCATTTTTCCAGACCCATCTCTTGCTTTCCTACCCTAGTCTCTACCTGCAGGTGCCTTCAGGAGGCAACTGAGTCCTGAAAACTGGTAGGCACTCATAAACAACTAGTATAAATGAAGTTCTGGGTGGGAGGTGGACACAAGTTCCTTGGTTCCTTCTTCTGTTTTATGCCCAAACAATGCTACTCAGGGCAGTCGAACATCCCTCGGGGAACTGAAAAACCTCCTGGATGAGGCCCCCTGCTACACACATGTGCTTTGGTGAGGACCCCTGCTACACACATGTGCTTTGGTGAGGCCCCCTGATACACACATGTGCTTTGGTGAGGCCCCCTG